TTTTGCAATTAATGCATGACGGACTCTCTGCCAAACACGGCTCATTAACATTGTTGCTACTACCATGAGATGATACGAGCTTACCACAACGCTGGCAAACTGCGTTCTTGTCCGGAGTTCGACAAATCCTAGCAACATGCCCAAATCGCTGGCACTTTTGGCATCTTCTAACCTTCTCAATGAACGGTGTCAAATAACACCTTTTTCCCATGTATATGACACTAGGCGGGACTGATAATGTTCTGAAACGTACAACATATGTATCAGAATCAATATATTTAGTAGAGGAAATATTATTGCTATTTCGAGTGCGAATATGTCTCTTAAGTCTAGCAGCCTCAAATGGAGGCTGCCATAGAATGTTCCACTCCGGTGGTGGACGGACATTTTTAAATAATTCTTCTGGAGAGTCGTCATCATCGACACCCCTAATTATGAACTGTCTAATGTCTTTATAATTAGGCACGTATGCTATCCATGACTCAAAGAGAATTATAATATTAGATTTTTCGTTGAAAATATCGCAGAATTTATTCGCTGTATTATCGTCGGGGAACGTTACCGAGAATTTATTTTTCCCTATTGTTTTTAGATCGAATGCGGATAAAAAATTAACAATATGCCTGTTTATACGTTTACCAAAAGCGATTATGCCGTACGTGCCGTTATTGGACGCTTGATTAGCGTTGGAAGTGTTATTATCAAGGTTATCTATACCTGTTTTTATGTTGTTGTTTGTCTCAATGGCTTCGGAATCCCGTGCCTGTGAGGGGGGAGGAGGCCTGAGGAGAATTTTTTCCATATGAATAATGAACGGAGGTTTAACATTTAGACCATACTTATTTTGCAAACGAGGATCGCGAATGCAAGCAGAATCTAAAGAGGATCTTTTAGGAGGGAGAGGGCTTCTTAATAGAGAAGACTGGCTCCTCTTGCGATTGCGATATATTATATCGCGAAGTTGTTCAGCAACCTCTTCCTCATGGCTCGTCCCTATGGACTGGGAAGCATTCCGCAAAGCGTTTTCAGGAATATTATCATCTATCTCCATTATTTATGCGTATTATGTGTAATAGTTCTTGTATGGTATGCGTATGTGCGTGAGTTAGTACGCAGTTTTTGTCCGGAGGACAATATGGCCGTGGCCACACTTCCCATACAGCACAGATCATTGCAATTATATTGCAGCAACATTGCAATGTTGCAAATTGCAATGCAACATTACAAAGACATTGCAGAAATATAGAGCCACAAAGTACCAGCACACTTGTAGCAACATGACATTAATATTTCGGAAATATTGCAAAATTCAATTTTTATATAATTTTAATAATAAAATATTATAATAAAATAATTTTTTGCAATATTTCTACATGAAAGATGTTAACGATAAACAATACTAAATGGTTCATTTTATTAAAACATTTTTCTTAAATTGGCTTATATTGCTGCACTGTATGCTTTGCGCAGCACATGTACGCGTTCGCAATTGTGTGCGTGTGTAGTAGGCGCCGGTCTTGCTGCACATATCTGTGATTGTCGTGTATTTCGTGATTAACATTTTTTATTGTTGCGTACGAGAAAAGGTAAGAACTTTTTGATAATATTATGTTTTATTATAGCAACCTATATATATTATGTATTAATTAATCATAATAGAATAGCATGTCCTAAGGTTAATAACCTAGGTTAATAACCTTAAAATTATTGAGATCGCAAAAGTAAAAATTATATTTATCTATGATATATGTTCGTATATTTTTTATGTGGATATTTTTTGCTTTCTCTAATTTTCTATTTTGCTGTAGATATGAACTTTAAAATATTTGATAAAAATATTTATGTATATTATCAGTATGTATATTTTTATGTAAATTTGAATTTTAACTCCTATTTTATTTTTACAGACATTTAACAAAGGAAAACAATAATGGACAAAATTCAATAAATTATTAATGGTAATAAAAGCGCCGCGTAAAGCTGAACCATTTTTATATATATCTCTAATATAAAAAAAAATATATTTTTATTTCGTGAACATGTTAAGTGCAATAATATGTTATGTGCAATGTTATGTTATTTATAACGTTAACATAAGTACAAATAAAGACATTTAATTACAATGTATCGTCAATAATTACACATTTATATACCCAAAAATAAATATATATACATCATTGCAAATTCANNNNATTATATATATTATATAACTGACATTTATATGTATATTTATAAACAACAAATATACTAACTGAAAACTGTAAAATAAAAATAATTCGAGATACAATTTAAGTTTCTTTATTGCCCAGTAGAGTAGAAAAAGAGAGATGAGTTTTGTGGAGTTTTTTAAAAGTTGTTTTTATTAAGGGTCGGCAGGAGAGACAGTAGAGACCTCTCGCGGGAAGCCGTGAATTACGGGAACGTTTTTTTCGTATTACGGCCAAAATACAAAGAAAATTATATTATAACAGCAATATTCGTAATAAGTAGGATCGTAAGATTGGCGCTACAGAGCGATTTTTTGGAAAAAAGAGTTAAAATAATATTTCATAAGTTGATAAACAAGATACAGCTCTGGTACAGCTCATGGAGGATTAGGTGCAGTTGGCCATGAGCTGTATTTTATTAATTATAAATTTTTTGAGAGCCAAAATGTAAAATCCTGCTCTGTAGCGCCAATCTAAGCTTTGTAAAGAATATAGCAAAAAAATTTAGAGGAAGGAATATGACTTCTTCGAGGCTACATACGAAAAAAACGGATATCACTAGAGCTATATGCAAGGAGCAGTTAATGGGGACATTTTTCTAGTAGTACACTGATTGCTTGACAAAGAGAGATGATTGCGCCGTCTTTGTCTCTCTTTCATCGCGTATGTGTGTAGCGTCCGTGAAGACACAAACACCGATACGTTCAGCACACGGATGTGATTGTTGAGAGATAAATCTAGACAAGGAGCGACAATCGCGTGCTGTCCTTGTTCTTCTAACGTATTATAATATTTTGTTGCAATATTTCTAAAAGCGGACATTTTATCATTGCTGCAATTCCACAGCAATGATGCAGCAACATTTTGCAGTGAATTTGCAAAGTTGCAATATTGCGGTGAAAGATTGCTACAATATGTATGCAATCTTTGTGTGCTGTATGGGTTACGTGGCAATGCTAGGTGTTTCGGGCCAGAAGGATCGAATGCACTGTATTATGCACGTCTCGTCCCAGAGACGGATAACAATCAACAAGATATCTCACTCACGGGCCAGTACAATGGCCCGTATCTCTAAAATAGCAAACTAGCGATTAGCACTAAGCCACGATGTTCACTCGCCGAGAGAACAGACGGAAGTCCCTACGTCGTCAATTCCGACGACGTCATACGTAATATAATGTTATAGAGTTGAATCTTGTTCATTTTGCTTGCTCTTAAGGACCAGCGCACATGAAAATATTTTGAGTCTTTCATTTTAGAAGAGCAGTTAATGGGGACATTTTTCTAGTAGTACACTGATTGCTTGACAAAGAGAGATGATTGCGCCGTCTTTGTCTCTCTTTCATCGCGTATGTGTGTAGCGTCCGTGAAGACACAAACACCGATACGTTCAGCACACGGATGTGATTGTTGAGAGATAAATCTAGACAAGGAGCGACAATCGCGTGCTGTCCTTGTTCTTCTAACGTATCGCTTTACGGCCGAGATACGTCCTGAAAATGCTTTCTGGCCTCTTGTGGCAGAAAGCAGTAATACAACAAGGTTAACAGGCGCCCATTTTTTGAGAATTTTATATATGCATATGTACATATGTGCATATATAAAATTGTACGTGCAATTATATATTGTATGATGATCAATAATAACAGAATAATAGATAACAGAGTGAACAAATACACAATATGTAAGACATGGGTGCCTGTTAGACTTATTTATTTAATGTATGCTTTAATATATCTTGTAATAATAATAATCAACCAATAATAGTAACCAATAATAGCCATGAAAAGTTATTATTACTTTAAGTATTCTTTTTAGATTAAAACAGCCTTTATAATACATTATTATTTTTTTTTTTTAATATATTGATTATATGTATAATTAATATAATAATTTAATCAACATAATTCTTTTTATAAAAATATTAATGAATATGTTATTCCCAAATGATTTCTAATCGATTCTGTTCATAATATTTATTAAACATAATTAAGATCTGATAACTTGACGCTCGATAAATTTTTATTATAACAAAAAAAATATTGTTTCCTAAATGTTAAAATGATTTTCCTAAACTTCCCCAAACGATTCCCAAATTATATAATATAAAATAATTAGAAAATATTTAATTTCTCTGCTAACTCTACGGCGGTTCTCTTTTGTCTCATGGAGTAACGCATATACCAAAGAATTGTTAGACTGATAAAAGAAAATATATCCTACCTCGATTCCATGGTGTAAGTAACAAGGTGTGCTATCTTCTCGGACGAATTTTCGTCACATTCTGCGCAGCACCAAGTTTCCGCCATCTTGCAAAATCACCATAGCAACCGATAGCAACGCGACGATAAATGTAAACGAAATAGTGTCATGATACACAAGTTATGCACAGTTTTGCAGCAGTTTCGTGAATTTTGTGAATGCAATACAAAAAAGAATCCAAAAATAAAAAGTAATTTTATTTTTATTATATCTTCTATATTGTTTATTATGTGTTATGTATTCTCTATCGTTTATTATATGTTTATTGTTTCTTATATGTGTTTATGTGTCTTATATATTTGTTTATTTATATTTATGTGTTTGTATTTATGTGTTTGTATTTATTATTTTCTAAAAATATATTCACCATAATTATAATTACACACAAAAGATCTTTCATTAAAACTCTTTCTTGCCCGAATCTTCGTTTTAATGTCCATTTAAATTATACAAGATGGCGGAATCTTGTCACGCTCTCTTATTGGTCAGTAGCAATGCCTGCGCAGTAGCACACCTTGTTACTTACACCATGCCTCGATTCGTTGTAATTAAGTATAAATAAAGTTATTGTTACTGTTAATACGCAACGTGTGCAACTCGTTACCCGCTACAAAAGCATTACTTTACTCTTGAATCACACATGAATATTTGCACATGTGTATATCTCTATATTTAGCATCTAGTAAAAACCCCTAGTTCCGTGCCTTACATCATACCCCTAGAATCCACTAGATTAGTCCTAGCTCTCGGCGTCTCTGCGGTATAGCCGGTGGAAGCAGGTTGCCCTATAAAAAATAGAGAGCTATCCTTTTCTCACTAACTGAGGTATAGTAAGAAAAGAGCATTGTCGAGACGTAACACCAGAGAGAAACCTGAGAGGGGTCCACGGACTTCTATGGGTGTTTACGACAAGTAATCAGATTTCCAATCGGACCGAGCAGTGGTACTCAATCGGTTCATATCGAAAAACCCCTAGACTAATCGGATTATGTTTGCTGTCTCAGCAATAATCGGATTAGATCTAATAAATCATGAGAAACAAGCTGAAAAGAAATTTAATTAAGTAAAAGTATAGAAATAGATATGTACCTTATTATTATTTTGAACTATTATTCTAAATATTAACACTTTATTTTCTCTAAAATATTAATTAATAATAGAAGTATGTATGCGTTTTGATAGAATTCTGGAAAAAGATGAATTGTTTATAACCTCACTGTATTAATTGTTAATCTATAACTTAACTAAATTAAAATAATATTTTTTCATAAGCAGCTTGAAGACACAATTGAGCTATGGATGTAAATGAGGATAGAACCATTGAGCAAGATTATTTTGGTACGTATATCATAAAACTGAAAAAAATTTTTTGTATCAAGGAAGGTTAATTTAATATATTTTTTTTGTTTTTAGTTATTGTTCACATATTATTTGGAATAAGAAATATTATATTATTTCAATAAACATATTTTTTACAGAAAACTGTAGATTTCAGTGGACTACAGAAACCACTAAACTATTAATACAAGAAGTTAGAGACAATATATCATCAATAAATAAAAAGAATACTATGCAGAAGAAAATGTGGAAATCCATCGCCAGTAATTTCCACAAAAGAGGATACAACATCACAGACGAACAATGTTCTACAAAATGGAAGAATTTAAAACAAAAATATAAACATGTACGAGACATCAATAATGAAACTGGTCGAGCTCCAGAAACTTGGGAATATTTCGACATAACTGACGAATTCCTAAATACTAGGCCGGAAATATCGCCTGTCTCAATTGCCTCCAGGACTCATGGATTTCGAATAAGAGAAAGAAGTCCTCATACAAACATCGTGGAATGCAACGATGAGAATGCAGTACCAAATATTTCTTATGGCGTCACACGCAATGTAAGGAAACGTAAAACACACAGTGACGGATCCACATTGTCGGAAAGACTGTATAAACAAAGAGAAGAGCATCATAAAAAGAACATAGAAATGCAAGAAAGATTCTTGACATTATTTGAAAAATATTTGCAAAGAGATAATGCATAGAAGATAGGATTATTTACGATTAACCTGTATTTTTTTCAAAAAATGTTTTCGCCATTTGCGTAGTATAACTTTGTTATAAAAAAATCTTTATAATTCTCATTATAATTTTTTATTTTTTTTATATGTTATAAAAACATTTCGTTTTTTAGTTCTTGAGTTTATATATAGAGATATATAGAGATTTATATTGAATACCTATTAAAATTATTAATAAGATTATATAAGAAAAACGCTCATAAATATATAAAATTTTAAAGATGTGTTCATTAAGTGATAGGTATTAAATAAAATGTGATATTATGTGATATCACCTAATCTTTATTTTTGTTAAATGTCTCAAATATGTGATACAATTTATTTGTTTTATTATTTATAGTTTAAAGATGGATAAATAGATAGAGAGAGAAACAGACTGGTGTATCAATTCCAAATATAAGATTTAAAAGGAAATTTTATTTATTTACAGAATAAGCATTTCTTATTTAATGTATTTATGTTACAAATGTATTAAATATATTTCATTTAATAACGTATTTATATTATATCATTTATTACCTATACAGTTTTAAAAAATATAATTGGAACTATAATTTTGTATCTTATACGCACACACAAATATAACATTTTTTGTTATATTTAGAAATGTAATAAGGACTCTATTATATATATATATATATTCTATATCTAAAGAAAAAGTGTTACAATGAAAAAATTAATTTTTATTACTTAACCTAATTTTATTACTTAACTTCTTGATTTCCAAAAATCCAAAGAGCTATAGCAATCTGTTTATGTGGTGGCAACTTAGGCAAATTGTGTCTTTCAATTATTGCTGGTCCAAGATTTTGCATTAATTGCTCAAAAGTATTTCTGCTGATACGAAAATGTGATTTAAAATCTAAAAAGAGAAAAGAATATAAAAATATGTTTCACAGTTACATAGACATATACATTGAGCAAATAAAATATATATATCTTATTTTTTTTTAATATTTTTAAGTACTGAACCTATTCTTGAAATGATCCTCACACATTCATATATTCCAGTATTATAACTTCACTAAATGTTCATTAACAGAAGATTTGCATTTCATATCTTAACCTCATAATGATTATTCTGTTCCGCATAAAATTTAAACAATAAATAAAATATGTATTTATCATTACCTGTGACAGAATATAAAAGAACAACATTTTCGAAATAATGATTGATTTTTAAATGTGGTTCTCTGATATGCTGCATTTGCCAATCATCTTCATCGTTCTCATCGTTATGAATAAAAACATTCCATAAAAAAAATATGTCCATCCTTATATGTTCCCTATGTTCAATAATAATTTAAATAGATATATGATAGAATATAAATAAATTATTGCAGTCTCTACATTCCATTGAGAAGAAACGATATGAACTACATTTTGAATTAATCTCGACAAACGAGACGAATATTTTTTTCGATTTTATGATATACGTACCAAAATAATCAATGGTTTAATCCTCATTTGCATCCATAGCTCAATTGTGTCTTCAAGCTGCTTATGAAAAAATATTATTTTAATTTATTTAACTTATAGATTAACAATTAATACAGTGAGGTTATAAACAATTTATTTCTTTCCAGAATTCTATCAATAAAACGTACATACTTCTATTATTGTAATAAAGATTAAAAAATATAATAATATAATAATACAATTAAAATATAAAATAATTATAATTGTAAGAAAAATAATGCAAAAAAAATTTTATTTTTTAACATTTTATTATATTGCAGTATATTTTTTTATATATTTTAACATGGAAAGAAATCTATTTGGCATTTACTCGAAATAATAATTTCAATGAAAGCAACTTAAAAAAAAATTTGTAACATGCATGAATATTAATTTTGGAAAAAAAATATATAATGTCAAACTCTGTACAATTAGTAGTAACATAGAAAATTTAAAATCGTGCCGATAATGACGTCTACAAACTTCATAGATTTCGTCTCAATCGTATTTTTCTGTCCAGTCCAAGACAGCTTATAGGCCAGTTCGTCAGTGACGGTAAGTTTTAACGCATACCTTATGTGCTGCTCTGGATTCTTTCCTCCGATAGTTCGAATTAGTTTTTCCTGTAAAAAATGTATTAATTTTTATAGTTTGTAACGCGGTCACCTCGTTCGACGCTCGGATCGGCTCGTCGGTGTCCGGGTTCGAGAGGAGGGAAGACTCAAGCTTACGAGACACAGTATAGGTAGAAAAGATAGTTTATTGAAAGCGAAATATATACAGAGTAGCGTGCAGGGCCGTGCGGTGTTAGGCGGCGTGTGCTTGGTGGCAAACGGGCGCTAGGACGCGAGCGCAGCGGGAAGTGCAAGCACGAAGCGGTCGGCGTGATGCGGCGTGCAGCGCGAAGCGTATTCGTCTTAACTATGACTTTATTTACATGCGCGTTAGCTTGGTATCTACGGTGACGCTATTTACACGCGGGTTGATCGTGACGCGGTTATCCACAGGTCGGGCTTATTTCTAGCGGTTTATGATTACGGCGCGAGTCGCGGACTTATACTTAACCGGACTTATTACCCCCGTAAGGTAGAGAGAGCCAGAAAACCTGGCAGAGCTAAGAAAGCCTTAGCCCCAAGAGGTAGTAGGTGGTGGTCAGGTCGGTGTCTGGAGCTGGATGTCGGGATAGGATCTGGTCTCGATGTCTCGGCCGACCGGGCTTATATACCCGGCCCGTGCCCCCACTATCCATTGTCGGTCGGCTGGTGGGAGTCGGTCCCGTGGGGGGGACAACGAGAGAGCACGAGCGGCATACGTGTGAGCGAGATAGCATGAGCGGTGTATGTGCGAGCGAGATAGCACGAGCGGCGTACGTGCGAGTGAGATAGCACGAGTAGCGTATGCGCAAGCGAGATAGCACGAGCGGTGTACGTGCGAGCGAGATAGCAAGAGTAGGATAGGTATAGCGGGATGAGCCCGCGAGGCATGCATGGTTATTATATATATATCTATTTACATTATATACATTATATATACAGGAACGGCTCTGCCGTTACAAGTTTAATAATTATTAATTCTTATAATTACATTATTATAATGTAATCATAATGTTACAATTCATAATTTCATATAGAAAATGATTTAGAAGTTCTATATACTTTTTGTAAAACTAATGATTTGTATTTTTATAAGCAGAAAAAAATTTAAGAACGAGAATGTACAAAATGTATAAATATTCTATTTTTGCATACATTTTTTGTGCATTAAACTACTTATATTTTTACGAAATTTATGTGATAAACAAGTACTTACATATTGCAATGAAGCTATGGAATCTTCTGTTATCAATTTATTGAACTCCTGTAATCTTTCAGGCGTTGCAATAGGTAAATTTAAATTAATAATATTGTAATGACAGGGTCGTCACTAATACTGTAAATATTGTAAATATGTTAAATATGTTTAAAATAAAAAAGTGAATAACCTCGCATGCCTCACTGTCTCTTCCTGCTATACCTATCCTGCTTGCGCATGCGCCACCCGTGCTATCTCGCTTGCACGTACGCCGCTCGTGCTATCTCGTTTGCACGTACGCCACACGTGCTATCTCGCTCGCACGCACGCCGCTCGTGCTATCTCGCTTGCACGTACGTGCATGTAAATACCGTGCCGTAATTATAAGCCGTTAGTAATAAGTCCGCTAGCTATAACCGCGCCGTAATCTTATAACCGGATGGTAATATGCTCATTAGTTATAACCGCTCCGTAGAATTAACCCTGCTAGTAATAAGTCCGGTTAACTGTAAGTCCGCGCTCGCGAACCGCGCCGTAATTATAAGCCTGCTAATTATAAGTCCGTACCTGCGAATCGCACCGTAATTATAAACCGCTAAAAATAAGCCCGACCGGGATAACCGCGTCGCAATTACCCGCGTGTAAATAACGTCCCCGTAGATACTAAGCTAACGCGCATGTAAATAAAACCCTAGTTAAGTCAAATCTGCTTCACGCTGCACGCCGCTTCGCGCCGATCGCTTCGCGCTTACGCTTCCCGTTGCGCTCGCGTCTGCCACCCAGCGCACGCCGCCTAACACCGCACGGCCCTGCACGCTACTCTGTACAAATTTCTCTTTCAATAAACTATCTTTCTACCTATATTGTGTCTACGCAAGCTTGAATCTCCCCTCCTCTCGAACCCGGACACCGACGAGCCGATCCGAGCGTCGAGCGAGGTGACCGCGTTACAATATTATTTTGAGATTTTGGATTTACATCTAAAAGTAATTGTTCGATTGTAAACAGCATTCGTATCATTTTGTGAATGCTGCTTCTACAAGCTTCTATTAAGGAAAAAATATAGAAAATTAATCATTTTTAGTATAATACAAATTATTTAAAATTTGATCGTAATATACTTACTACAACATAATTCATTATGACCTTCTTTATTTTCAATATCGTTTAGAGTTTTTTCTTTATTTGTTTTATAAAGTTGTGAAAGTCTTGGTACGCCTGTTGAAAGCACAAGAACAAGAAATACAAAATGTATATAACATAATAAAAAATCTACACATTCTTACTTTCTACTTCCACAGATCGTTTATTTCTTTCAAGTAACCATTTTTCCATATTGTTAACATCTGAAGTTTCACTTGGTATTTTTCGCATAGAGTTTCCTTCTTTATTTTGTATATAAGTAGTAGGCGGCGTTGGAATACCTGTTACATATATAATGGGGTTTTACTCTTGGTTAATTGGGAATAATGAAACAAAGATGTAATTGCGTTTCTCTGTAAAACGAAAGAAACATTTATGTACAATACTTACAACATTTAATTAATTACAATGTCTGTTAACAAAAGATTCACTCACCTGTAAAACGAAAGAAACAACATTTAAAGCCTTTACTTCAGGTCTTTTTATATCTTAACAAATATAGAAAATATTATCCTTAGGAAAGTCTATTGCTCACAATCATACCAACCCACTCTCATATTTTATTAAATGTCCCCACTGTCAGTCGTGACATCTAGTAGGCTTTGTCGATAGCGCGGCAAAGACAAACTTAAAGAAAAGAGCTCATATATGAGTGAAGTGGTTTTCTTTACACATATTTAAATTTAGTAATAATATTATATTTAAATATTTGTTCTATATACATGTAAACTAATACGTACATAGATTACTCAGTTCATTTTCATTACAGTTCATTTGAGGTTACATTCTTTTTTTTGGATTGTTACATTGTATGATTTTCAATTCTTCATTTTGCAATAATTTGAAATCTTTGATACAATCCAAACCAATTAGAAAATCGTACTTAAAATTTTCATTATCTACCACAAAAACATCCATAATTCTTTCCATATTGTAGATTTTTATTTTTAATGTTACCATACCTTTTGTTTTCTTCTCACCATTGATAGTTTTCAAATTTACCATTTGTATATTACTTGTAATTTCTTTTGGTTGTATCTTCAATAATTTTGCATTAATTAATGACACATTTGAACCTGAATCATAAATTCCAGAAACTTTTAAAGTATCATTTAATAGTAATTTTACTTGTATTAAGGGTGGAACTTCTCGTTCAGTTCAATTTCCAGTTCCGAGTTATTTACAATTTTGACAACTGCTTTTTGATTTTTCCCTTTAAACCAGCAATTGTCTTCAAGATGGTAACGTTTTCCTTTTTTTTCGTTGACACAAATTTGGCATGGTTTTTTTTCTTCAATTTTTTTGGATTTAGTGCCAGAATATATAATACTTTTTTTATCGTATTTATTCTTCCCGGCAAGATGTTCCAATTTTCCTATTTCATTGTAGAGATCTTCCGTTCCTTGTAAAGTTTCTCTGTCAACTTTATCAGCCACATAATTAGGTAAGCCAAATGCTATAAGGTCTATAAGTGTCCCAATATCAATTGATTTTCTTACTTCCAGTAACAATTTTTCTTTTTTTTAGCATACTCAAGTAACGAACCTGCTTGATATTTAAAGGCAAGAGCATATCTGATGGGTGACCATCCTTTGTTTGCAAACGTCTCACAAAAATTTTTCTCCCATCTGTTCCATTCCGATTCCATTGTAAGTTTCATTAGCAGTTGTACCAATCTACACTGGAATATCCCAAAAAGTTTTTTAAAATTTCAATTTTCTTTTTGTCTTCGTTGATTTGGAAACGTTCACATTCTTTATTAAAATCTTTAATCCACTCGTAAGCATTTGAGTTTCTGCCAGTGAATTTCTCAATCATGAAATCCTTTGCAATTTTCCCTAAATTTTGAGATTCAGATTTTGTTTGTTTATCTTCAAGCAATTTTTCCAACAGTTTTTCCAACGTTTGATTTGAGCCACTAGGTATAGATTCAGCACTATTTGTTTCTTCCAAAATTTCTTCTAGATAAAAATCATTAAACTGTAAGTTTTGTTCTCCATCCAAATATACTTTTGATATATCATCTGTCAAGGTTATCCATATTTTTCTTGTTTGATGTCTTTTATTTAATGATTTTCTGATCTTGGCATAGTTGGGAGTATTTGTAATTTCTTGGTGTAGATTTGCAGGTTGGTCTTCGGCTGGTATTCCAAAAATCTGTCCATCAGGTGTAGCTATTGAGGTTATGCGTATGATGTTGGATTTTCATCTGAAGTCGGTTTCACAGCAAAATCAAACCTCAATTTTTCCATGTTTCGTGAAATATTTGCAGAAAATGTTGTTTTATAATGGGGTTTCACTCTTGGTTAATTGGGAATAATGAAACAAAGACGTAATTGCGTTTCTCTGTAAAACGAAAGAAACATTTATGTACAATACTTACAACATTTAATTAATTACAATGTCTGTTAACAAAAGATTCATTCACCTGTAAAACGAAAGAAACAACATTTAAAGCCTTTACTTCAGGTCTTTTTATATCTTAACAAATATAGAAAATATTATCCTTAGGAAAGTCTATTGCTCACAATCATACCAACCCACTCTCATATTTTATTAAATGTCCCCACTGTCAGTCGTGACATCTAGTAGGCTTTGTCGATAGCGCGGCAAAGACAAACTTAAAGAAAAGAGCTCATATATGAGTGAAGTGGTTTTCTTTACACATATTTAAATTTAGTAATAATATTATATTTAAATATTTGTTCTATATACATGTAAACTAATACGTACATAGATTACTCAGTTCATTTTCATTACAGTTCATTTGAGGTTACATTCTTTTTTTTGGATTGTTACATTGTATGATTTTCAATTCTTCATTTTGCAATAATTTGAAATCTTTGATACAATCCAAACCAATTAGAAAATCGTACTTAAAATTTTCATTATCTACCACAAAAACATCCATAATTCTTTCCATATTGTAGATTTTTATTTTTAATGTTACCATACCTTTTGTTTTCTTCTCACCATTGATAGTTTTCAAATTTACCATTTGTATATTACTTGTAATTTCTTTTGGTTGTATCTTCAATAATTTTGCATTAATTAATGACACATTTGAACCTGAATCATAAATTCCAGAAACTTTTAAAGTATCATTTAATAGTAATTTTACTTGTATTAAGGGTGGAACTTCTCGTTCAGTTCAATTTCCAGTTCCGAGTTATTTACAATTTTGACAACTGCTTTTTGATTTTTCCCTTTAAACCAGCAATTGTCTTCAAGATGGTAACGTTTTCCTTTTTTTTCGTTGACACAAATTTGGCATGGTTTTTTTTCTTCAATTTTTTTGGATTTAGTGCCAGAATATATAATACTTTTTTTATCGTATTTATTCTTCCCGGCAAGATGTTCCAATTTTCCTATTTCATTGTAGAGATCTTCCGTTCCTTGTAAAGTTTCTCTGTCAACTTTATCAGCCACATAATTAGGTAAGCCAAATGCTATAAGGTCTATAAGTGTCCCAATATCAATTGATTTTCTTACTTCCAGTAACAATTTTTCTTTTTTTTAGCATACTCAAGTAACGAACCTGCTTGATATTTAAAGGCAAGAGCATATCTGATGGGTGACCATCCTTTGTTTGCAAACGTCTCACAAAAATTTTTCTCCCATCTGTTCCATTCCGATTCCATTGTAAGTTTCATTAGCAGTTGTACCAATCTACACTGGAATATCCCAAAAAGTTTTTTAAAATTTCAATTTTCTTTTTGTCTTCGTTGATTTGGAAACGTTCACATTCTTTATTAAAATCTTTAATCCACTCGTAAGCATTTGAGTTTCTGCCAGTGAATTTCTCAATCATGAAATCCTTTGCAATTTTCCCTAAATTTTGAGATTCAGATTTTGTTTGTTTATCTTCAAGCAATTTTTCCAACAGTTTTTCCAACGTTTGATTTGAGCCACTAGGTATAGATTCAGCACTATTTGTTTCTTCCAAAATTTCTTCTAGATAAAAATCATTAAACTGTAAGTTTTGTTCTCCATCCAAATATACTTTTGATATATCATCTGTCAAGGTTATCCATATTTTTCTTGTTTGATGTCTTTTATTTAATGATTTTCTGATCTTGGCATAGTTGGGAGTATTTGTAATTTCTTGGTGTAGATTTGCAGGTTGGTCTTCGGCTGGTATTCCAAAAATCTGTCCATCAGGTGTAGCTATTGAGGTTATGCGTATGATGTTGGATTTTCATCTGAAGTCGGTTTCACAGCAAAATCAAACCTCAATTTTTCCATGTTTCGTGAAATATTTGCAGAAAATGTTGTTTTATAATGGGGTTTCACTCTTGGTTAATTGGGAATAATGAAACAAAGACGTAATTGCGTTTCTCTGTAAAACGAAAGAAACATTTATGTACAATACTTACAACATTTAATTAATTACAATGTCTGTTAACAAAAGATTCATTCACCTGTAAAACGAAAGAAACAACATTTAAAGCCTTTACTTCAGGTCTTTTTATATCTTAACAAATATAGAAAATATTATCCTTAGGAAAGTCTATTGCTCACAATCATACCAACCCACTCTCATATTTTATTAAATGTCCCCACTGTCAGTCGTGACATCTAGTAGGCTTTGTCGATAGCGCGGCAAAGACAAACTTAAAGAAAAGAGCTCATATATGAGTGAAGTGGTTTTCTTTACACATATTTAAATTTAGTAATAATATTATATTTAAATATTTGTTCTATATACATGTAAACTAATACGTACATAGATTACTCAGTTCATTTTCATTACAGTTCATTTGAGGTTACATTCTTTTTTTTGGATTGTTACATTGTATGATTTTCAATTCTTCATTTTGCAATAATTTGAAATCTTTGATACAATCCAAACCAATTAGAAAATCGTACTTAAAATTTTCATTATCTACCACAAAAACATCCATAATTCTTTCCATATTGTAGATTTTTATTTTTAATGTTACCATACCTTTTGTTTTCTTCTCACCATTGATAGTTTTCAAATTTACCATTTGTATATTACTTGTAATTTCTTTTGGTTGTATCTTCAATAATTTTGCATTAATTAATGACACATTTGAACCTGAATCATAAATTCCAGAAACTTTTAAAGTATCATTTAATAGTAATTTTACTTGTATTAAGAGTGGAACTTCTCGTTCAGTTCAATTTCCAGTTCCGAGTTATTTACAATTTTGACAACTGCTTTTTGATTTTTCCCTTTAAACCAGCAATTGTCTTCAAGATGGTAACGTTTTCCTTTTTTTTCGTTGACACAAATTTGGCATGGTTTTTTTTCTTCAATTTTTTTGGATTTAGTGCCAGAATATATAATACTTTTTTTATCGTATTTATTCTTCCCGGCAAGATGTTCCAATTTTCCTATTTCATTGTAGAGATCTTCCGTTCCTTGTAAAGTTTCTCTGTCAACTTTATCAGCCACATAATTAGGTAAGCCAAATGCTATAAGGTCTATAAGTGTCCCAATATCAATTGATTTTCTTACTTCCAGTAACAATTTTTCTTTTTTTTAGCATACTCAAGTAACGAACCTGCTTGATATTTAAAGGCAAGAGCATATCTGATGGGTGACCATCCTTTGTTTGCAAACGTCTCACAAAAATTTTTCTCCCATCTGTTCCATTCCGATTCCATTGTAAGTTTCATTAGCAGTTGTACCAATCTACACTGGAATATCCCAAAAAGTTTTTTAAAATTTCAATTTTCTTTTTGTCTTCGTTGATTTGGAAACGTTCACATTCTTTATTAAAATCTTTAATCCACTCGTAAGCATTTGAGTTTCTGCCAGTGAATTTCTCAATCATGAAATCCTTTGCAATTTTCCCTAAATTTTGAGATTCAGATTTTGTTTGTTTATCTTCAAGCAATTTTTCCAACAGTTTTTCCAACGTTTGATTTGAGCCACTAGGTATAGATTCAGCACTATTTGTTTCTTCCAAAATTTCTTCTAGATAAAAATCATTAAACTGTAAGTTTTGTTCTCCATCCAAATATACTTTTGATATATCATCTGTCAAGGTTATCCATATTTTTCTTGTTTGATGTCTTTTATTTAATGATTTTCTGATCTTGGCATAGTTGGGAGTATTTGTAATTTCTTGGTGTAGATTTGCAGGTTGGTCTTCGGCTGGTATTCCAAAAATCTGTCCATCAGGTGTAGCTATTGAGGTTATGCGTATGATGTTGGATTTTCATCTGAAGTCGGTTTCACAGCAAAATCAAACCTCAATTTTTCCATGTTTCGTGAAATATTTGCAGAAAATGTTGTTTTATAATGGGGTTTCACTCTTGGTTAATTGGGAATAATGAAACAAAGACGTAATTGCGTTTCTCTGTAAAACGAAAGAAACATTTATGTACCAACATTTAAACATTTAATTAATTACAATGTCTGTTAACAAAAGATTCATTCACCTGTAAAACGAAAGAAACAACATTTAAAGCCTTTACTTTTTATATTTTTATATCTTAACAAATATAGAAAATATTATCCTTAGGAAAGTCTATTGCTCACAATCATACCAACCCACTCTCATATTTTATTAAATGTCCCCACTGTCAGTCGTGACATCTAGTAGGCTTTGTCGATAGCGCGGCAAAGACAAACTTAAAGAAAAGAGCTCATATATGAGTGAAGTGGTTTTCTTTACACATATTTAAATTTAGTAATAATATTATATTTAAATATTTGTTCTATATACATGTAAACTAATACGTACATAGATTACTCAGTTCATTTTCGATTGATGCTTTTTTCTTAGAAGATTGACGAATCTTTTTTTTCTCAGTGCCTATTATTATCAACATAAGAAATATAGCTTGCAGGGAAACCACTAATCTTTTTTAGCAAAAGTTCTTATTAATGCTAAGAGCTTTGTTCACAATATAATATAAAATAAAATATAATAATAAATAATAAATTTGTTACGTCCGGTGGACTTCACGATTCTCTTCTTTCACGTAATATTAAACGCCTACGCTCTGGA